TGGTAGGACCGTGACTGTGAACCTGGTGAGGTTACTGAGGAGCTCCCATGGTGTGAGCATCCTCATGGGGACAAGCAAGGAGGAACCAGGTGCATTGTGCACCTGAGCAAGAAATGGTTTGGTGAAAAGACTCCCCGAGGACTAGAGGTTGTGCAGTAGCATGGATCAAAAAAAATCCCATGGGAGCAGCTGCAGCCCTGGCGTGCCACCGTGACTGTGAACCTGGTGAGGTTACTGAGGAGCTCCCATGGTGTGAGCATCCTCATGGGGACAAGCAAGGAGGAACCAGGTGCATTGTGCACCTGAGCAAGAAATGGTTTGGTGAAAAGACTCCCCGAGGACTAGAGGTTGTGCAGTAGCATGGATCAAAAAAAATCCCATGGGAGCAGCTGCAGCCCTGGCGTGCCAAGGCTCTTTGGAGGCTCTTTGCGTGTGATGGAAAGCCTGCGTCTACAGGCTTGGGATTTTTGGGAATCCCAGGCTTGGGATTTCCAAGCACTTTGCCTGACGGAAGCCAGGGACTGGTAGACCTCAAAACAGAAAACACCTCGTGCTCCCTGGTGGGACTGCAGGAAAAAAGGGTGGTTGAATCAGGTCAAGGAGGAGCTGGATGGGTGAATTTGGTCCGACTGCGTGGCCTCCCCCAGGGGAGGGACCGATCCCGGACTCACCGCCACTGACCTGCGGCCGCAGAGCACGTGACGCCTGCGTGCCCCCTCGACTTGCAGCTCTTGGTGCCCCACAGCTTGACCTTGCATTCTAAGAGGGCCCCCTCCATCCCAGTGCACTCCACTCCATCCACCCAGATCGGGCCATCTCCTGTCCCAGGCTGGGCGGACCCCACGGCCGAGCGCGCCGCGCCACAGCCCAGCTGCCGACACACCACGTGGGCTTCGGCCACGTCCCAGCCATCCGTGCAGACACCTCCCCAGTGCTGATCATGGAACACTTCCACTCTCCCAGAGCACGAGTCTGAGCCGTTCGCCAGGCGGAGGCTTCTGAGGTCAGAAATGCCCGATCCTGCAACATCGGAGAGCACACACATGTCAAGGAGATACCTCCTGCCCCGTGAAACCTCCGGCGCTGGCAATGGGTTTATGTCAGAGTCCAAGCAGCCCTGGGGGTCAAGGATGCTCTTGTGGCAACACCTTGTGGATCAAGGATGCTCTGGCGACGACAGAGAGGGCAGACCTTTGAGATGTAGTGTGAACTGGTCCAAGTGGTGCCCAAGGCTCGATCAGCATGGGCTTGACCAGACTATAGAATCATGGAACCATGGAATGGTTTGGGTTGGAAGGGACCTCAAAGATCATCCAGTCCCAACCCCCCTGCTATGGGCAGGGACACCCTCCACTACACCAGGTTGCCCAAAGCCTCTTCCACCAGGATGGAGCACGAGGGGCTGTATTCAAAGCAAAGAGTTTCCAGGCTGGCTGCACGCTGCTCCTGCGTCGCGAGCCCCTTGCACCCGTCGGGGAAAGCAGAGTCTTCCCACTGCTGGAAGACCCACGTTAAGGTTTGCTGCGGTGCTCCCAGTGCCGCGACGCGCGGCGGTTACCTGCGCACACCACGCTGGCATCTTGTTGGGGGACCCCCCAGCCTCTGGACCTGCATTCCGAGAGGGCGGCCTCCGTCCCCGCGCAGTGCACGTCGTCCAGCCAGATGGGTCCCTGTCCCTGCCCGAAGTGAGCCCGCCGTGGGGCCGATATCACCGCCCCGCAGCCCAGCTGCCGGCACACCACTTTGGCATCCGTGAAGTCCCAGCTGTCGTGGCACACCGTCCCCCATTTCTCACTGTGAAACACCTCGACTCTCCCAGCGCAGCGACCGGGGCCATCCGCCAGCCGGACTGGGGTGAAGCTGGAAACAGCCGAGCCTGCAGTTGGACACGGAGGTGCTCAGAGCATCCGTCCCCTCCACGGGAGGAGGAGGGACCCCGCGTTTTGGCCTACAGCGTGGTCACGCTGCCTCTGGACCCACGGCATCTCATCCTCATCTCATGGATGAACTTCGCAAAGAGGTTCGGGGGTCCTTGACCCAGCAGCAAGTGGGGTGAAGCTGGCACCTTGCTCCCAACTGGGATGGGGGGAAATTACTGGTGTGTCCTGACCCACTGCTAGTGCCGGAGTGACACCCACCTGAGCAGATGGCACTGGCACGCTTTCCATGGCCGCAGCTGCTCTCTGCCCACGGGCTGGCCGGGCATTTCGTGAGGCTCGGCTCCGTCCCCTGGCAGTTCACG